TAGGTATCAGTGACACCAGGCATCTGGTTTATTCTTGTCACTTTTGCCTTGAAATGAGTCATACTGCCACAGGAACAGGAACTTTTATTATGACCGTGGGTTACTCCATTTCTGTTGAACTGTCCTTCCACATATTTTAACATTTGTTCAAGCAGTAGCTGCCTTCCAGCATCACATTCACTAAAATTGTATCATAAACCTATCGACACAATATCTATTGTTGAAAGTGAAAGCATTAGGAAAACTCATTTTGCTTCTTGTGGTCGGAGATTTTTATTTTGAAAGATGCAAAGTTAAGCTTTATTTAGACGCGTGTTTCGTCGTATAAAATATAGTTTATTACGGCAGATGTTCTGATTTTTATTAAGCAGTGGTCAGCCTCTCTTTATTTGTGGCTAATTCAGTGCAGATTTGGAAAGGGCAGTGGGTGTGTGGGAGGAACATGAAGGAATGTGGAGTAAACAAGGCTGTCCTTGACATGGCATTGGGGCAGCTTAGTGCCTGCAGCACTCATCTTTATCAACACACTTATTTTTAGTGGAGCAGCTCAAAGCCTAATGGAGCCACCATCTCAGTTCACGCCCTTCATATTGAGTGTTTTCATAGCCACACCAAACGCTTCCTCACGTGCAAAGGAAGACAGAAGACAGTGCAAATAAATGTGTTTTTTAGATTTAAAGCAAGAAACTGTTGGGAATTCCGCAGCAATATATTTTCCTGATATTGTCACCTATAGTTTCTGATAAAACTATGCACAAAGCATCTGAACTTAATGGTTCGAACACTGCTCAGATATTATCAGATAACACTGAATAGGTTTGTGCTGGAAAGATATAACTGTCACTTTCTGAAGATTAATTGGTTTACAAAACGTCTTTTGTCAAGAAAGACAAAATAGGCCTCTCTGACTTTGTTGGAAAATGCAATGAAAAGAGCATTATACACTTCTGATGGAGTTATGTCAAAGGGCTAATCAGCCATTGGAGAAATTAATTATATTTTTTCCTAACTTTCTGGACACGAGAAAAGCTTAACAAGCAGCTTAGATTAAATACTCGACTGCTATCAGCATTGACTTTATGCTGATTTCCATGAGAGAAGGCACTTCCCTGAAATTTCACCATTGAATAAGTTGAGTTTAATCATCACGAGGGTCATATACTCTTCTTTAGGCCCATGTCTGACCTGAAAATATTATCGCTCTTTTTCTTAGTTGTTCATTTAACAAAGTATGATGTATCAAACTTAAAAAGCAAAATGGAGCCTATTGTAATGATGTTTTTATGATTTTTCTTTATTTTAAATATGTGGTGGATATGTCAGATGAAGTCTGCAGTGATCACTGTATGGCCATGTGGTATAAAATGTCCAGAATGGGTTTTCATATTTTATCACAGCACTGATTCACAGTCAGATTATGTGGCACCACCTGGATCTGTTGTTCTGGGTCGCAGACTTGAAACGTGAGACAGTAGGTTGGAGCTGGCGCAAAGCTGAAGTGAGGCAGGGCTGGATCAGGTAGAGATGACAGTGCACGGAAAAGAACACACATTCAAACTGGTCTGATTAAAAACTACCTACCAGGAGTACTGGATCAGACAGTCTGAATAATGATTAGAAATACATTACTACCACCTCTTTTGTTCCGATCTCATTTTCCAGAAGACCCTCAGGGAGTTCTCAGAGACCAGATGAGCACCTGCTTCATGTGCTGATCATTTAATTCCCTCCCATCCTGGAACTGGGATATTTTCTTCCCATGTGTAATCCTGGAGAGGAACTAGAACATCGGAGATTAGAACATAATTAGGTTGTAGCCATCCAGTGACCTGGAGCCTGACTGTACTTTCTTGGCTTTTCCTAGCTCGGCACACCAGTCAGACTCATTAGGTTTAGTGCCGCTCACAAAGACATTTTATTTTCGGACCTCTTGATATATTTAAGCATGAATGAACCAGTTCATCAGAGTGCTCTGCTACCTGCAAACCAGCTTTATTAACGTTTTGTTAAAGCTCATTGTTCACAAAACCAGCAACCTAAAGTGAATGTTTTTTTAACTCTTATGTTTGGCTTTGTTTGTTTATACTTTAAATAATGAAAGCATAGATCCTTTAAACTTTTGGCTTATTTTTATTATTCAGTTTTTAATTCATTCAATAATTGAAGAATCATCTGCACGTCAAGAACAATATTATCAAAAAAGTTTTCCCACCTCTTTTTTCCCTCAATTTGTGACATTTCAAACTTGAATGAGAAGTATGTGTTTAAGTACAGACAGTATCCTACTATGACAATGTGAAAACATGTTTTGAAACAAAAAAATTTTATTAAATTTTTCAAAATAATACTTCCATTCTTATTCAAACCCTTTGCTATGAAACTCATAGGCATCAGATATGCAGTGATCATCTTCTGACAAATCAATTGAAAGATATAAAAGGATTTAGCAACATCAGATGTCCTGTAAAGCACTGAGGTCTCTATGATTCTAAATATGAAGAAGAATCCTTTCTCTAGTATCGTCCTTGAGACCGGAGCAGATAGCTGCTCCCTCTTGAACATATGGAGTTCAGACACATTCATGAGATATCACCACTTTTCCAGTCATCTCAACAGGTTACAGTTAGTTTCTCGTGAAACAAATAATTTCAACAAGTTTGAAATAAAATGCTCCAAATAAAGCCTTCCTCATCAGATCTGCACACTGCCGGCTGCAAATCTAATTATATTTAAAATATATATACATATTTTATTAACTTTCCTTCTACCTGTTGTTTACATTGACCCCATTTCTTCATACCTTCACCTGCAGTCTAATGTAATGCCTTTTCTTGTGTAACAGAAACTTGATAAAGGATTTTACAATTGTTCCACCTGGAGTCTATTTATACTCAACAGGAATGCAGTCCACCAAAAGCATGTTCATATTGCAAAGGCTTTTTGAGAACGTGTCTTCAATGCTTTGTGAATTTTAACATTTATAAAAACAAAGCATTGACTGTATTTAGCCCTCTAAACTTTTATGAAAATGTACAGGCATCCAAAGAGCACATTATCGATGAGCACAAACAATGTGTTACAGGAATGGCAAAGAGTTGTGACAGTTCATATTACTGGGATCTCAATCTTAAATCTAAACTTTGCTGGACTTTCTGTGCAGTACTTGGCCATTTTTCTGTTGCTCCCTGAAAAAAAACAAAAATCTAATTTTCAGCTATGCAAGGCTGAAAGTTTGGTTTGCCTCAAGTTTTCCTAAATGAAAAATAGAGCAAACATCATCTACCTCAAGCATTTTTAAAAGTGGTAAAGAGGGGTGCAATTCAAAACCAATTCATTGTATGTTTTAAGAACTAGTTAATATTTAGATCTTTAGTTTGGATAGAGTGCCTCTGTGATCTGATGCACATCAACAAAGGGACGGTGCCACAGTATATATTTTGCGTACTGTCAACACAAGGTTGTTACGACCAATAATATTTTTAAGTTAACCGACCTCTCAAAAACAGAAGATACTTCTTGCTAGTTAACTCTTTGCAGGTAAACACAGAATTGTATACAGAAGTGGTACAGTTGTTATCGGTGAATATTAAATATACGCAAGCTTTTCCAAAACCTGAAAATTTAGTTATTGTATTGATAACTCTGTGCTAACTGTGAGGAGAGCAGAAAGAAAAAGTTGTTTTTTAACAGGTGATCACAGCATGTCAACTGGTTCTATTTTGGAAAATGCCTTTAGTGACCATTATGATTTGGATAGTAATTTTGTTGCTTCTTAAAATAATCTTGTGAAGAAATAAGCCTACAAAAACAGGAGAGGACATTTTTTATTGCTTTCCCAGCTGTGGTTTTCCTTTGATACCATCCTATTTTCAGTCTGAACTTGGCCTTGAGTTGTCTCTCCATCAGCATAGTAAATGTTAGTATCAATGACAAAACTCTTGGACAGAGCTGTTTTGGCAATGCACCGTTAAATCCACACGTGACAGACTCTAAGTCACTTATCTGATGACATGCAGGCTTGCTTGTTGCACTCATCAACCATGTGAAATATTGAAACAACTTGATCTTTATTTTTATTTTGTCACGATGCAAAATCTGATGTAGGCTATTATAATTTGTACAACAGAACTACACAAAGTAATGTGTCGTTAGATGTAGAAGCAAAGAACAAACTTTTTTCCAAATAAAAATCTGAAAAGTGTGTCATGCATAATCAATCAACTTACATTTCCTATTTTTTTGTATATAAAATACTGAGGTGTTCTCGGTTGTCTCTGCCATCTTTGCACATCCGGAAACTAACAATTCTCCCATCTCCTCTCTGTAGAACAGATTAAGCTTGGCCACCACTCACTGTTAAAACGAACAATTGTCCCAGCATGATACTGTCACCATGGTTTATGATAAGATTATGTTTTCATGGTTAGTTTTCCCTCATGCACATTATATTGCATGGAGACTAAAGAAATTACATTTTGTTGGAGCATCTTCTTCTGTAGAATTTCTTGAAGCTTTTGAAAGTTTTCTTGTTGCCACTTTTCCAGATTTTCCCATCCGGGCAATACTCTGCAGCTCCATGAAAGTGGCAATGGAGAACACTAACCTTACCCAACCTTCTTTTACAACCTGCTACACTTTTTAGTTTCTCATTTACAACTATGAATTACTTTACTTCCACTTTACAAAAATCTTAATAAAACACACTAAGGATTCTGGTGATAAAAATTCTCAGTCTTAACCTTGTAAAGAGGTTAGACCTCTTACAGACAAGCAACATCATAAATTTGACAGCCTTTGAATGTTTTTATTTTTTTTCGATTAATCATATATTGTTGATCACTGAACAAAATAATGTATGAATAATTATTTCAGCATCTGCAGTGTCTCTTAAAGAATACAAACACCAAACGTCTACATAATGATAAAGTTAGCATACGCATAAAATAATTAAATTAATTTAAAAATGTATTTTTGTTGTTTTTCCTGTATTCCCATCCCCCCCTGTTTTCTCTCCTTCCTCTTTGTCTGCTTGATCTCTCCTCGCTGCCACCTCTCCTCCCAGCGACAGCCGCTGCTTTCTGATTGGCTGTTTTTGATGTGGGGGGCGGAGCTTGCTGAGTGCTCCGCTGCTTTTCTAGCTTCAAGCTCGGCTCTGTCGTCAGTTTCGGTAAAAGCTAAGCAAGGAGAGCGACAACAGTGTACGTTCACAAAAAGAAATAAACGTTTCAGTAGCTTAAACTGTTGGCTTAGAAACAGCAAATGAAACGCCAAAACACATAGCTTAGTGTTGGACCTCGGTAGCGCTTTCCTCCAGTCAGGAAAAGGGACGATATAAAGGATTTCGACGGTTGGTTTTGCTTCTTCCCCCTCAGTCCTTTGTTTTTCGCCGTTCCAGTCAAGCAGGTGAGCAACAGCGCCCCCCTGTGAAGACGACTGGAAACAGCCTGAGGATAGGGAGCCTAACAAACGGCCGAGCAGCTAGCCTCCCCTGCGACGTGGGTCTCCACAGCCCAGCCGACCGATGCGGAATGAAGATGAGTCCCGCTCTGGAAGCCCTCATGCAGGCGGACGGGACTCCCTATTCGGGGAAGGGGGTGATGCTTGAGCCCTTCGTGCACCAGGTGGGAGGCCACTCCTGCGTGCTGCGCTTCGGGGAACAGACGATATGCAAACCCCTCATCCCCCGGGAGCACCAGTTCTACAAAAACCTGCCTCTGGAGATGAGGAAATTCACCCCTCAATATAAAGGTAAGAAGATACCAGCGTTCAACCAAAGGGTGCAGGAGGAGTGTTGTTGTTTTGTCTGTATTCAATGTGGGTTTGTAATCAGGGCCTGCACAAAAATATATGCGGCCTTGATCAGAGCCTGGTTCATTTCCTGTTTTGCCCACTAAACCACCAATTATGTATTTTAATGGGTTTAGCTTAATTCGGATCTTTTTGTTTAGAAATGTTGCTTTTTTACAAATATATAAAATGTTGGGAGTATTCAATGTGAGGGAGAACAGGAAGTCCAATTTTTAATTTTTTGAATGCTGATCCCATATAAGTTTCAATGTACAGCCCTGCAGTACAGCCTAATTAATTGATTAATTAAGTCCTCCTCAGAGCCAAGCAGTAAAAATTATGTAAGCTGAGCTGAAATGACTACAAATAAGTCAATCACTTATTTTTAATTCTAAAAAAAATTAGACATTACTGTATTTTCCAGACTATAGCGAGCACCTCACTATAAGTCACACCAACAAAGTTTTAAAAAAAAGTAAAAAACTGGAAACGTACTTACATAAGCCACACCGGGTTATAAGCCGCTGCTATCTACACCGCTCTCGGTTTTCACAAGGACGCAGCAGAGGGTTTTGTCTTTAATAACTCTGCTATTAAGGACGCAGCCCTGTATTTCCAACACCGAACCATGGATTCGTTCACACCGAGCTTACATGCAGCAGCAGTCGATCTGTACTACCAGATCGATAGCTTTCAGTTTAAAAGCTGCATCATGTGAATTTCTTAGTGTGGTTTCCATGATGAGGGGCTGCGAGTTTGAAAACATTTCTTACTTTGTGCCTGCTGGTAGCATGTGCTTGTTCTAAAGGAAAATCAGCGCTTTCTTCTTTAATTTCCAAATTTGACTTCCAATGATTCACTTCCTGCTAAAGAGCCCCCTGGTGGTTGAAGAAAAATCCACAGAAAAGCCTCACCGGGCCGAAAAATACAATAAATATTTTAGAAGTGCTCTTTGGGAGTCCCCTTAATTAGCAGCTTTGCTTTCTTCTGTGTTGTACTGGGTCTGGTTGTAATCGGTGGCTTAAAGGACATTGCGTACACAGGACAGGTTCAGAGTGGATTGGATTACTGTTTTTTAAGTGCTTTATCAATCATTTTTAAGATGCTGTTGGGCATCTCGTGTCCAATGGGGAGTTTCAAATGGCACATGAATGTAGGAACTGACTTCCAGCCAGGAGGATGTGTAGCCAGGGGTGTCTTTTAAACATCTAGAGTTTCAAGATAAGAGACAACCCCACCGCCTGGGTCAAAAATAACTGGGCCACATCACCTGGAGTGGAGAGAGGAGCTCACAAGTCATTTGAGAGGATGCTAGTTTCAGAGAGCTTCCCACAAATACACATTTCCATACTCGCACACGCAGGCCTTTAATGAAGAGTGTAGTGTTTCCTGGTTGCAGCCAAGGCGAACAGGCTCACATTCACACTCGCAGACAATGATACCAAATGCATGTGAAAGCAGACGTCTCCTTCGGCCAAGTCTGACGGCGCTTGGGCTCATGAGTGATATCTGACCCCTCGGTTATGCGGCTATAAAAAGATGCGGAGTGTGATTTAGATGATGGTCTTCTGGGCCTTTCGAAAATACACCACATAAACTAATGTCAAGAATTTCCTCACTTTTATCAGAAGGTATTGTCAGAACATTTCATCTGCAATTAATGTATATGAAACCTAATGTTTTTAAAATTTTACACATTTTCAGAAGTAAACAATGTCTTATTACTACATTGAGTCAAGGTTCAAACTTTCAGGCAAACAAGTAAACAGTAGCTGAGGATAACCCGCATTTCACTCCTTCTCCTAATTTAGACAGTTTGTGCCCTTGAGTTGTAAAAAAGAAAAAACAAAACAAAAAAAACCCATATCTTCCTTGAATAAATCCTTATCACAACTTTCCAAGCATCCTATTGGATTAATTAGGAGTGACTCAGAAGTTCCCACAATCTCTGGGAATGATTACGTTGCAACTCTGAACAGGATAGTACAACTGGTTGACTTTCATAGGCGGGGCTGTTCGTAGGAAGAGGAAGAAGATTATGACGGTGACGTCAAAGCACATGACATCAGCCGTCCTTCCTCTACTTGCTGCAAACTTAAGAGACTAAATGTTAACAGAATACATGAATCACAGTGATGAATCAGATCACTGGTCCTTTTGTTTATATCACTGGCTTTTCCTTTTCAAACGCTTTCTGCCTCACGTTTCCTTCCTCTTTCTTTTGAATATGTGTAGGTCACTGCAGCTGCCATGTTTATTCTGAGTGCAACACCTCCCCTCCCATCTCTGCAGCACTCAGGGCCTTGTAGGGAGTTTTATTAGGACCTAGTGGGGGCAGACTTGGCTCTATCACAAAAGATGAATATTGGGATCACGTTGCAAAATGTTCGTCATCAAGATGTTTTCATAAGTTATTTTTTTGAGCTAGTTTCTAATCAAATTTCGGCTTGTGACACATTGTGAATATTTAAATACCTTCGTTAGAAGCATCTAACAAAAAAAAATATTGTGATTTTATCTAAAGTGAAAACAGCAAAAATATCAGAACACAACCAGAAAAGCAATAATTAAAAGCCGTTTTGTCCTTAGAAATATTTCTAAATGGCAAAATGTTTTCTGTTTTGTTGTTGTAAGAAGAAATGCTTGGACCTTTTTCTTCAGCCAGCTGACCAGCAATCTAGCAGTTGGTCTCATTTTGTGGTTACAATTGTAAAACTTTAACTTGAATTGGATAGACTGCGCAGAATATCTAATTAATATTTGAATGTTTGTGTGACATGTTGGTCATTAGTAAACATCTCCTCCTCATCTTACAGGTGTTGTGTCGGTTAGTTTTGAAGAAGACGAGGAGGAAAACCTGTGCCTCATCGCCTACCCTCTCCATAGCGAATCTGTGGACTTGGAAAACAAAGACCCTTCGGCGGACTGCCAAGAACCCAAGAGCAAGATGCTGAAGTGGAGCAACAAGAAGCAGTCCCCATTGCTGCAGGAGAAGGAAAACTACAGCAAAGACAGAGCTCGAAACAGCAGAAAAGAGGACAAAATCATGAGGTGAAGATGCTTGCTAAAATGACACTGGTTTCTTTATATTCTATATGCAGCTCAGGAGCTAAAACTTTTCTGTTTTTTCTCCCTGTGTAGTTATAATCGTGATGAGGTCCAGCAGCCGCAGGCTGAGGTTCTGTACTTCAGCTTGGAGAAAGGCAACGTGGTGTCACAGATCAAACACAACCCATGGAGTCTGAAGTGTCACCAACAGCAATTACAGAGGATGAAGGAAAACGCAAAGCATCGCAACCAATACAGTATCCTTTATTATGAGTAACACTGCGTTCAGCGACTTGCATGCACATGGATCGCTCAGCAGTAGTGTGCATGTCTTCTTTGTTGGTATGATCCTTGACTTCCTGTCTCTCAGAATTTATTCTGTTGGAAAACCTGACGTGGCGCTACAGAGTCCCGTGTGTGCTAGATTTAAAGATGGGGACCCGCCAACATGGAGACGATGCTTCAGAGGAGAAGAAAGCCCATCAGATCCGGAAGTGTCAACAGAGCACATCAGCATCTATTGGAGTGCGGCTCTGTGGGATGCAGGTAAAGAGATCAGCTTAATTAGGTTGGAAAAGTCTGGAATTTGATTTCACTGTTATGCATGTCTGGATTAAAATGGACAAAGGAAATAACAGTATAGGGAAGGCAAATTCAGCTCAGTAAATTGGAGCATAATCAAAACTTTTAGTGTACAAAATCCTGCCGCTAATCACCCTGGGAAATGTTGCCAACGCCCAGCAGTCTCTACAATTTTGATGGCATATATTATTGTTTGTATTAATTTATCAGGGCTTGCAACTAATGGAAACTATAATATTCAATTTAGGATGTTGGATTGGACCAACAAAGAAATTATTTTTAGTTCATAAATGTTAGCCTAGTTAAAGTTTGTCCATATATTGCATGTACATTATGTGCACTTAGTTCTTTGTGATGATGTGCTATAGATTCTGTGTTTTGGTCGGAGCAATACTGAACATTTTAAGCAAGATTTTGTTGCTTTATTCCAAATTTTGCCTGAAGTGTGTGCACCACTTCAACTACATATTTTCCTTTCACTAAATTTTACATTACTGTGTTAAGATGCAGCATTCTGAGCAGACTTTTTCTTTAGTTCTGTCAGCTTACCCTGCTCTGACAGGAAAATGTTAATACAAGATTGCTATATTGAATTGTATTTTTGGAATTGGTCTTATTACTCTGACTCACATGGACAAATGTTTGTTAGGTGAAATCTGAGATTTTTTTAGACCACTAACCTGTGAGGAAGAAATCGAACGAGTTTAGTCCTTTTTTGTTGATGGCATGACATGTTGAAATGAAAAGTGAATAAGAACCCTAACAGAGTGGATTTCTGCATGTCTCCAAAGGTGTACCAGTCTGACTCCGGCCAGCTAATGTTCATGAACAAGTACCACGGGCGAAAGCTGACCCTTGCTGGTTTCAAGGAGGCTCTCTACCAGTTCTTCCACAATGGCCGCCGCCTTCGTCACGAGCTGTTGTCCCCCGTTCTGCGCCGGCTTCGGGAGATGCAGGCCGCCCTGGAGGCCTGCGAGTCCTACCGCTTCTACTCCAGCTCGCTGCTCATCATCTACGACGGCGACCCTCCCAGGACTCCTGCCAGGCCCAGGCATCGAGGAGGGGAGGACGGCGATGAGGACGAGCCATCTGATGAAGAAGAGGAGGAAGGCGAAGAGGAAGAAGCGTTTGGATTCCCTCGCTCTTCCTCCACCAGTGCATCCGGTGGTCTGTCTGGCAGCGGCAGCAGTCGCTCCTCACATGGAGCAGGAGAGGCCAGCAGCCCCGAAGTGGACGTGCGCATGATTGACTTTGCTCACACCACATGTCGGCACTACGGAGAGGACAGTGTGGTCCACGAAGGCCAAGACAGCAACTTCATCTTCGGCCTTCAGAATCTGATCACCATCATCTCTCAGCTGGAGGAGCACAGCACTGACTGAAGGCACATCAGAGCTGACCTGGTTTAAATTTTAAGCATGGGAGAAAAGTTCTTTGGAGCTACAAACCCTGCTGCTTCTCCCCCTGAGGTGCTTCATGCCTGAACAGTGGTCCACTTGGTGGAAACCCCAGATGCCTCTCAGTTAGAGGAAGAGTCTGCAAGGTTGATCCTGCGCTCTTGCTCACCTGCTGAAGGAAAGGGCTGCTACTGCCCTCCCTTGCACTTTTTTCTTTATGAGACTGAGACTTTTTCTTTGTGATACACGGTAGGAGCATTGTTGCAAGAGACGGACAATTTTTCTACAGGTTCTCTCCTTTGACATTGTAAGATCTCCCTCCTCCATCTCCTCTGGTACAAATTGGTATCTCTAAGTTCTCTCTGAGAGAGAAAGAAAGAGGCAGAGAAGTTTGAAGCTATACTTAGGTAGGATGCTGCTGTGGTGCTTACCTTGTGATATTACATCCTTTTTGTTAATGAACTGCAGAGCACAACTTAGTGGAGGAGTTAACTTGTTACCTGAACAAGCTGACCTTAGCTGGCTCGGTCAGCAGCCTTGTAGCAACGGACAAATAAAACACCTAATAAGGACTTTTTTGTGTTTCTATTGACGTCTTGTAAGAGAGATTGTTGTCTACCGTGCACTTGGATTTAGACTTCTTTTTTTTTTTTTTGGTGGGATATTAATTAGGTTTAGAAGAAGGGATTTGCCTTTTACATTTTTTTCCTGCACTTCCCACCTATATAAATATGTTTTGAAAAGGGGATTTTATTGGAGTTTCTTTTTTGTCATTCATCTTCTTCCTCATTCCTGCAAATCTGACTTGAAGAGGATATATTATAAGAACACTAGCTTCAGAGACTATAGACTATTTATTTGAAATGATTCTTTAAAAAAAAATGGAAACAAGCACATTCCTTATTACCACTTTAAATGTTCTGTCCTCCTGAGCGTCTGATTTATTGTTTTTTGCATACTTAAGTGTCTTGGTAAATAAAGGCATTCATTGTGGTAAAATCTATTTTCTGTGTCGTGCTTATTTAGATTAAGAATGAACAGCCCAGAAATGTCAAAAAAAGAGAAATGAAATTGCAACGTGAGCAGGTGGCATTCTGTAAAAAGGGGAAGCAGTGCTGTGAATCAGGCTTTGTCCTTAAATTATAGATAAAATGTTTGCATTCTGGAAAAAAACAGCTGAGTGCTATTGAGGCAAACTTTCCATTCCCTTTGCTAATCTATATCTTCATTTTATTTCTCAATTAGTAAAGTAGCAATTTACTAATTGAACCTCTTAAAGTCAATCCCTGTGGTTGAAATTGACCTCCAGATTGACATAAATAATGCAATTAAATCATTCTGTGCTTCAGTTTTGCTTTGCTAAAGACATTTTGAAAAAAAGTGTTCAGTGAAAAGGCTCCAAGGTTAATGTTCATGTGATAAAGAAGGAAAATATGAGATGCTGTTGCACAGCAGTCAGGTTGCATAATGCTGTATAACATAATAACAACTTTACGAACTTTGAATGTACTTCTTCCCTGACGTATAATGTACTGCTTCAGGGAAGACGTACATTATACTGTAGAGGTGCATCTTAGTGAATTAGAATATCACTGAAATTTTCATTTATTTCAGTAATAAATAAAACTCAATTATTTTACATACTGTATTAATTCAGTTTATTTATATAGAAACTATTTTTAACACATCATTTTAAGGCATTTCACAAGTCAATTCAATATAATCATACATGCATATTACTTGATCCTAGTTATCAAATAATTCAGTCAAGCTATGTTTATTTTTCAATTTGGTTAAAGTTTCCTATACAGTGAAGCCCAGCAGATTGAATCCTTAACTCCTTCTGGACGAGCTGCAGAGACGATGCTCATATCACTGACTTTCAGCAAACCCAGAGGCTGGTTCCACCTGCAAAGACATTTTATGATATTAATCTTCTTGTGGACTGAATTTTAGGTTTTCAGAGACAATAGTAACGGTAATAAACAATAACTTACAATATATTTTATTTTATTTAAGGTCTTCACTGAGCTTACTCTCAGCAGCCTCATAATCTCAGTATAGATGTTTTAATGGGTAGCTCGGATTTTAAATTGCTCAAGATTGGGCAGATTTTGCACAAAAAGTTAGAATCTGTATAAAATAAACTTAATTTTTCCAAACTCCTCCACAGTTGCTGCTTCGTGTTGCAGCCCGATAGTCACTTGTTAATATTTGGTGCATGCCTTGGAAGTATCGAGGGGATGATGTGATCTTTATCTCACATCATAAAATACTAAACGGTAAACCATTTCTGAAACTGTTACTATCTCTTATTGTTACACTAACAGCATTATGTTTACGCTCTTACTTTGCAAAGGCATGTATGCTTTGTTTGTTTTGCCTCCCAAAACACAGACAATGCAGATATGCAAACCATTTTCTGGAGGCCTGAAAATATTCTGGTTTAAGAGCCGCAAAAAATTTGGATCCCGGAGTTCCTGGAGTTTAAAGTTTTCTTTGTCCAGACCACAGCAAATATCAAAAGGAATGAGTGAAAAGAAAATGGGATGGGCAGGAGGACTCAACTCTTGATGATGCTCACATCAAGAGTTGATGTGAGCATCAACTTTATTTCCATCAGGAAACTAATGGAAATTAAACCAAAACAAAAGGGAAAGAGGAAGGTAAGAAGAGTTGTGGAAATACCTGTACGTGCTTTTATGCTGTGGCATGTGGTGCAACAAGGAGTGGTTCAGGTGTTTTTGTTTTTTTTCCTCTTGTCGAGATGCCATACAAAATGCTGGAATGATAAAAGCTTTGTTTGACTAGAGCACAGAGTAAAACAGAGCTAACGCCGCTTCCATCCTCCTCTTACATGTTGCTGCACACTGAGATCAGTGTTTCCTAAATTTGTACTGAAAGCACAAAATGTGGAAACTTTAGGAGCTCCATCCATCAAGCTACAAATCATTAGGTTCTATCAGCGCAGATATGCTGGCTAATTAATCAGCTGATATCAGCATGTAACTAGCTGATTTTCAGCTTTATATGGACCAGAACAGCAAAAATTAATGCTATTCTGTTCAACCTGTCCAGGGTTTACTCTGCCTTTCACCTCCTCACCACTAGAAATGGGCACCAGCAACTCTTCAAGGAAGCTGTAGGCACAACGATAGTCGAGGCTTTAAGGTACACTTTTATTAAGTTCAACCTTTTTTGTTATCATACAAACTCTCCAATACATTTGGATGATGTTAAGTTGACAAAGATAAAACCTCAACTTTTGAAAATCTCCTAATATTGTAAAATATTGTATTGTGGATAATCTGAAGTTTTCACATATATGAGTGGATGATGTGATCCAAATAAAGATTGAAAATTATCGTATTTATCAGAATATGTTGCCGTCAGGGCCATTCATAGCAACAATAGTAAGTAATGTGAGGTGGGGGGGAATCAGACAAACATCCAAAATAGATTGAGTCCAATTCTTCATCGACTGGTTTTTGGTGGTGGAGTTGCACTGATTGGACCCGTTGTTCTCTTTGGAGTTTCAAGTTTTCTTGTTCTCCACTGGTTTGCTGCAGGTTCTCTCTTCTTACAGCTCTCTAAGAAATATTTATGTCTGAATATTTGATTCAAAATCCGACATTCTAGCAGAGTTCCAAGGTAATAGCCCTTGAGCTTAGTTTCAGTAATTTGCTGAAGAGTCGGTGAATACCAGGCTTCCCCAGCGTGCGTCATTCTGGTTCCAGAGTTCATTATTAAGCAGTTTAGTTGATGTTCTTGGCCAAACTCCCCACAGCTGTGACGATGGTAACTGATCTGCTTTACATTGGCAGAAAGCTCAGATGATAGATTTCAAGCACTCAAAGCAAACTACCTTCATGGTTTCACAGTGAAACACAGGAAGCCATTCAGCAGGAGTGGATCAACCGCAGAGCGAAAGCAAAAACCTGTTTTTCATTCTGCATAGTTCATCAGGTGAGCAACATGCGGCGAATGTTGCTGTTTGTACCATTCGTGGGCAGCATAATCAGCTTTGTAATGCTGGAAAACCCTGTGGTAAACAGAGGTGGTTGACAGAGCATCATGAAAACTATGTTCAGAATTTTCCGACACTTTTTAGTTGTGTATGCGCACCTGCTTTACGCATCAAGGGTGGATGGAGAGACAAAGGAGAGGAAACGTCATAATTTGTGACCAATCCAGCTGTGTGACCAGTGCTCACTTTTACTCCAAATATCTGCAGCAAGCAAACATTTCTTTTTTTTTCTTTCTCTCCTCCCAAACATATCTGGCAGGCATCTCTCTCTCTCTCTCTCTTTTTTTTTGAGTTATAGTCCAAATTTCAGTCCAAAAAACAGACAAGAGTTTAAATGAAATAACTCCAAACAGAAAACATGCATTTAAAAAAAAAGAAGAAAAAAAAGCATGCAAATGAGAACACAAAGCAAGCAACACACAAAAGTAAAAGCCAAACTTATATCGACTTATTATAATAATTAAAATGCACACAGAGAAAGAGGAGGGGATAGGGAAAGGTTTGCTCTATTTTAAGTCTTTAAAAAAATCTACTGATTTTATTAAGGTTATTTGTGCATAATTTCCTCTGGCAAGAAGTCAAACTGTAGCTGTGTATCATGTACAAGAAATTTGTTCACATTCAAAACCACAGTTAGAAACAGTCCTGCTGTTTTCATGGTTTTAATAATTAGATTGTTTACAATTTTCTCAACAGCTGACTTTGCCTCCGCTCTTCCTGTCATCCGTATTGCAGCACACTAAAATCATCCTGATGAAATACGATAGTGTGAGGCCAGAGTTGTGTGGAACGAGGGGATTATTAATTTCCTCTCATCAAATCTAAAAATAGCAGCAAAATCTCTGCTCATCTGCTGCCTGATGGGGAACAGATATAGATTTGTTTTGTTCCTGAGCTGCAGACACTCAACCATACACAGGTAACTCCTAATAAAGATACTCAAAGTACATTTTCTGTTTGATTTGTATTCTTTATTTATTTATTTTGTCTTTTTTTCAGGAACAAGGGACTTTTATGTCCATGTCTGTATTGTGTTCCAGTAAAAGTGACGCTCTGTTATTGAGACAAGTGTAATTTAACTGTTCGATGAAGTTTTTTTTTGGCTAAACTATAAAGTCTTTCTCAAAGTCCTTTGTGTACTTGAATGTCAGAAAACATCACAGCCAGAGCCCGGTAAAAGTATTCACAGCTCTTGAGCTTTTTCATACATTGTGATTTAAAACGTCAGTGTATTTGTACGGGACTTTGCACAGTAGTCTGGAGGAACTGCAGAAGTCTACAGTGTAGGCGGGAGAATCTTTTGCTTTTACAACTAATTGTTGGATTTAGACCAAAACCAAACTTTTTGGTCTACATTCAAAAGCATATTTGTGGCAGAAAACTAGCACTGCATTTCACCCTGAACACATAATTTCCACAGTGAAACAGGGCGGCAGAGGCGTCATGCTGTGGTCAGTTAATTAAAATATAAATGGAGACACACTAGGGCATTTCTAGAGGAAAATCTGTTAGAAGACGTAAGGCAAAATCAAAAGAGGCGTGACTACAAATGCATGTTAAAAAAATATATATTTTATTTCTTTCAATTTCACAATCATGCACAATTTTGCTTGGTGTGTCAGACAAAAATTTCCATGAAATACATGAAAATTCCTAGTTACATTTTGACAGACTGGGAAATGTTTTAAGGAATCTAAATAGTTTTGCAAGTAAATCAACCTGTGAAAACCTGACACAAAAATAGACATCAGTCCTGATGTAAAACTGTGTGTTTCATCCTAGTCTGACAACACCTGCATGCAGATGTACATATTTTCCTATGTTGCGTGTGAAAGCACGCAACTTGTTTCTGTGTGTTTGCAAGGAAACCAGCACACTGTGGGATCTGATATAACAATGTGGTGCTTTGCATTTCACAGTTCAAGGGTTATGCAAATTTATTATCAGGTTGCCTGTCACTCCAGCTGCCTTCACTT